CTAGGGTAACTTATTTGCAACAAATGTCATTGTTCCAAAGCCTTGTTTTGTTTGTTTCTGCAAATGGTCCCCGGCTGTATGATCCATTTTAGTCGATCCAGCTGTAACGAAGGAGCACCTCTTTTTGCTAGCTAATCATTTTCGGGAATAGGAGAAAATTGTTTTGATTATTATTAAGTCCATATCTTTACGTTCTTGTTCATTTATAAATTCGTTTACGTTAGAAAGATTGCGATTAAGATATGCAACGAATACGTTTATTAATATATATATATCTCATAAGTTGTCTGCTTGCATGTTTTAGATAAATGTCCCGACTTATATATAAATATATATTCTTTGACACAAGATCTTTCAATCAAAATAATTCGATATTAAAACAAAATTTTCACGTGACATAATGGTTGGTGGCGACCTCATGTACATGAATCATTATTGTTCTGTCAAATCTGTATGTTGATATGTATACATCAAATACATATACGTATATACATAAATATTATACGTTTGACAACATACACGTATTCTATACATGCAGAGATGAGAGAGAGATAGAGATTGGCCTGGGACGTTGTAGGATGGTCTCCTTTGGCTCATATGGACCATGTCCATATCTAAGTTACAATGATGTGGTCACTACTCACCAGAATCATCATTGCGACAAAGTCCAAATGGAATGCACTAATGTATTGTAGTTTCTTTTCTTTTCCTGGTCAATCACAACTTCACAGGCTTACGAAACTAGCTGGTGTTTGTTCAGTTTATTTAATTATATATAAAAGCCAAAAGCAGCATCATGGCGGGGGTTGTTCGCCATTTGGCTTCAAGCATAGGGATAGGAGACAGGAAACCTCGTGCTCACTTTTACATCTTTATTCCAATACAACCAGAGGGGATATAGAAATTGTAAATCAATTAGAAAAACTGTCTATCCAGCTTTGGTGAAAAGAAAAAAAAAAAAACCAAGAGGGCTGTCTGAAAACAAAACTTGTAGAAAGAGACCATCTCCAATATATGTTTCATCTTTTGATGAACAACAACATGATTAATAGTTCAAAAAATAGCATTGCCAGAATCAATAGTTAGAGTATTCCATACCAATAGCCGTAGAAAATATTCTTTTAACAAAAATTCTTCTGATCACGTAAGACACCATCAATTACAGTAAAAGTTAATAAATTATATTTAATTTTTTGTCCATATATATAATTTTGAAATTTGACAAATTTGTATTTTATTGGAAACGTGTCGGTTTCAATAATTCTATTCCAGGTTCAACTCATGTCATCATCATCTTGTATTCGCACTCCTTTACTTTTCCATGTAAACCTTCTAGGGGAAAACATGGGGTTTATACGGTTCTAATCCAACTGATATTTTCCTTTTGTCAACAGGGAAAGCAACTGATAAAAGGGAGAACGCAAGCATATTCTGCCTGGTGGCTGGCTTACGGTTCAAATCAATCTGTAATATATCCCACGCAAGTTCCATGTTGCATATTCCACTGGAGCAACTACAGCCGTGAACACGACACATGTTTATCCGGTTGAATAAAGGCATAAAGACAAAATTCAACAGCGACATATTCCAATTAAGCAACTACAGTCGTGAAAACGATACGGGTTTACTTGATTGAATAAAAGTATAATGACAAAATCCTAACAGCGACACATATATTCAAGAAGCCTATTAAATAAAAATATAATGACGAATAAAATTCAACAGTAACGCTAAACAAGGAAAGACTCTAAAGATGAAATTCTTTGGACAGAGCAGGTTTAGCTCATTTAATGATTAAATTCAACAGCAACGTTAAATTAGGAGAGACTCTAATCCAAGCATGGGAGATTCTCTCCACTTTTCCGTGCACGAATTCGATAAACTCGTAGTGTTAAAAGTGTTAATGCTTACAAAATTTCAACCTACCCTAAGTGTTGTATCGAGATAAGTAAGTAGAATATATAAAGAAAAAGATCCACATTCTCCACCACAAAGCACAGTATCAACTATCCGCGCATATTCTAATCTCTTCTGCCAGCATACCTATGTGGCTGTGCAGCTTATCTCCTTGAAATCAGGCATCCCCCTTTTGGTGTTTTGTCTTCATGTTAACGATTACAATTTGAACTTTGCTATCTTAGCCACAAGAGTCAATCATCGTCAAATCATATTTGCAATAGTTAACCTTGGCTCATTGCTCAAGCCAAGTTAATGGGTTCATCTGGTCTAACTTGGGTTTTGGCTGGTCACTTTCATGGTCAACTGGAGACCCACACAGTCCAAGAAGTTATGAATTGAGACGAAATAATTAGATTTTGAGCTATATTACTTGAAAGTTTGAGTTTGTTTTTGTCCTAAAATTTAAAATTAACGAGAGATTAAAATCAATTGACAATTTATGAAAAAACTTCACGAATAAAAGAATTTTCGATATGGATAAACTTATAAGAGACAAAAAGTTTGATTAATATATTGATTGAAAAAAACAAAGAGATTAAACTTGAACGTAAGATCACAATGGTGTAATATCACTCGACAATATGTTGAAAAAATGTGCATGATATCACGTGATAACAGTGGTGAATTGATGCATTTGAGTAACACTAAATTTTGTTGTTTCTTTCCCTAGGGGGAATCCTTCCAATCAAGCTACTGTTATTCACTGACCTGGTGAGCTGGGCAGGCCAACGAATGAATAAATTTTTGTTAAATTCCCTAAAGTACTAAGCTAATAGTACATTACTATCAAACCCCGCCCTATTTTCCTTGCCCATCAAGTTGAGGGAATTGAACCATATTTATGAATTTTGATGAGTACTAGCACAAGAGTGAAACAACAACATTTTGTTCCTTTTCTTTGACATTGTTTGCATCTAGTTAGAAATTGATTTGTGATATTTTAACTATTAACAATGTTTGAATTTTCTCTCAAGCAGGGTCAATGGAGTTAGCAAGAGAAAGGGATGGAGTAAAGTTTTAATTGAATCTGGTAATCTGAAATTCACCATAAAGCTAAAAAAAATCAAGACTCAAATTATCCAATTTCAAGATGTCGGTTTTAATTATATCTACGTACATATTGAATTGTTAAGAAGATAAAGAGTAAATCTTGGTTCGCAGGTTTATTGGGTTTGCTTAATTGGTAATCTTTATTTAGTTGGCACTGTGCCTTTAGATCGAACCAGAACAAATATCGAAACTTGAAATAAGTTAGGATTAATTAAACCACATTTCTAACGTGTAAAAATGTGAAGAAATCATAGGTTAAAGGAGGTTAATAAAGAGGAATACATAGATTCGGTAGCGGGGATTCCACGCAATTTGCCCACATGCTACTAACTATATGTCCTTTTGGGAGGCTCAAATTGGTCTAAAATGATAATGGAAAATCAAACACTATTTAATTTTCCTTTGCTTAATATGGTAAATGGTGGTCCGAAGCAATTTCTTCATTTTTTTAATTTATTATTTATTTATTTTGGGTGTGTTGCAGCTGCTTGGCATATACTGCTAATGCACCTCGTTTTGGATGACGAAAGCGACCCACGATCCACACCGCCTTTTACACGAATCCTCCGACGCCACCTTGGGCTCCAGCCCGGCCCCACTTCCTCTAACCGGACAAGATTCCCCCTCCCCCACCCCTCTTTAATATTATTTTTTTTGGCCTCGCGTAAGAGCTTCACTAATATTATTATCCATCTCCTTTATTTATTTTTTAGATATTTTAAAATATTTTTTTTATTTTTTATAAAATTATTTTTCGTATTTTTTATTTTAAAAAGCATTGAAATATTAATATAAAATACATAAAAAATTAAAATTTAAGTCTCAACTTTGATAAAAATAAAATAAAGATAGATATTTAAAAACGAGAAAAATTAACTGTATGTATTTATGGTTTATAATTGAGAATTTTTTTATTTTTTGTGTTTTAAACAATTATTATTTGAAAATAATTATAAGAAAATGCTTATATAAGAGGAGAACCCATTTTTTATATTTTTTTACCTTTAAAACTCATAAAAATCCATTTGACTTTGTAGTCAATCAAGGATCAAACAATGAATTAGATTAAATGCTAATTACGATACTATATCAATTTAAAAGCATTCAACTTGCTTATTAAAAAAGTAATTAAGATTTAGTTAAAGTTTTAATAAAAGCACAAACTTTTTCAATTTTTTGAATATTCAATTCACATAAAGTTTTCATCCATGAAATACATATTTCATGTGTTTAAAATAATTATCACTTATGTGAATCTTGATTATTGATTTATCAATTTTTTATTTTATAAATTTAAATTATTAATAATTTAATAATTAAATGTATTAAACATGTTAAATAAGAAGATTAAAGGGTTAAAAGCATTGAATCAGGTTTACATTTTTTTTTTCACTACAAAAAGTAGGGTGAGAGAAAAGTAAGAAATAAAGAAATAAGAGTTTGTTTGACTTGATTTTTTTTAATTTAAAAGTTATTATTAAACTCTTAAATTTTTTTTTTAAAATTAAATTAAATATATTTTATAAATAAATTATTTGATAAAATAATTTATTTAAATTTTAATTTTAATTAAAATTATCATAAAAAAATTTAATAAATAACTTTCTATTAATCATAAATTTTTTTATTAATAATAAAAAATAAATTTGAATTTTTATTTATTTAAAATAAAATTTTAAAATTGTAAAAAAATTTATATAATATAAAATTTATAATTAATATTAAATCATATAAAAATGAAAATAAATAATATTAAAATTATTTTTAATAGGTGAAAAAATTTTTATAACAGAATAAAAAATCTTCTGAAAACGAGATGTGTTTTTAAAAAAAATAAAAAGAAAATCTTCTGTAAAACTGTTTTCTAAATTTTTTATTTTATTTTTTAAAAAATTATTTTTTAAAAATATTTGTTTGACTTGACTTCCAATTTTAAGAAGTAATTAGACTGAAAACAGTCGAGGCAAACAGCCACTAAATAAAATTTTTTACCCTATAAATTCTGAAAGAAGGCTGAGCTCTGTCCCGAATAAAACAGAGCTTCTCTCTCTGTGTTTTCTTCCTTTGCCGAAGACTGTTGTGTTGTAGTAGGTTTTTTGGATTTCCGATTCCTTCTGCTCTCTGTTTTGCTTTTGTTTGAGAGTGGGAAGGACAGCGGGGAGAAAATTTTGTGGAGAGTTCTAGATGGACACGTACACTGTCCATCTTGCTATGGCGGCTCTGGTCGGAGCGTCGCTGGTAGCCGTGTCGGCGTATTATATGCACAGGAAAACTCTGAGTCAGCTGCTGGAGTTCGCCAAGACGGTGGAGAGAGAGAGGGAGGAGATTTCGGACGGAGAGTCGCCGCAGCACTCCAAGAAACGGCGCGGACACCACTCTCGCCGGAAGGGGAACGGATACTACCGCCGTGGCTCGGCTTCTCTGCCGGATGTTTCGGTGATATCCGGCGGGATTGATGGAGAAGAGAAACGCAACGGTGCTATCCATGTTGACGGGATTCCCCCCGGATTGCCGAGGCTCCATACGCTGCCTCAAGGTAAACTTGGGATTTGAAATCAGGAGGTTTGATGTGTTATTCAATGATATAAACAGCTTGATACTTTGTGAAGTGCAGTTTTGCACATTGCAGAATTAGCAGCTTGGAAACTTGTTTTCTTTGTATAATTCTCTCATTTCTTGTTTTATGACAAGGGAATGGAAGTTATTACCAGATTAATTCTACAAAGAGTGCTGCTTTTTATTACCTTTAGCCATGGAAACAAAAATTTGATACCTTAGGGCAAGAGTTCAGTACTCTTTGTTTGGAAGTACTTCAGGGGAGGATCAGCCATATTTTCTAGAGAATCTGACTTTAAATTTTGCTGCTCTGCGGGAATCTGAAATATTTAAGTAATCAAGATATGCGAAGATCATTAAACACTTGTAAAAATCGAAATAAAAGAAATTGAGTGCTTCTTTTTGCCTTTTAAGATTGTTGGCTGCTTCTCTTTGCGATATATAACACAACTTTCACTCATGAGAAAGCTCCAGTTTCAGGGCTTGGAAAGAATAAGATTTGTCTTTTTTTCCCCCACTTAGTATTCTGTGTCTTCTTTTATGTTTTTATATATTGTTGTCAATATGTTTTCTGATACAGTAATTATTTTGGCTTCAGGGAAGTCTGGTGGCCATGCAACTTCAGCTAAGAGATCTTCAAGTCTTATTCGACCTACTTCTCCCAAGTCCCCTGTTGCTAGTGCAAGTGCCTTTGAGAGCATAGAGGGATCAGATGATGAAGATAATATGACTGACAATTCTAAGATAGACACTACATATCTGCATACTAATGGAAATGCCGTGAGTCAACTTTACTCTGTTCTCTTACAGAGCTTGCTTTTGCTTTGCTTTGCTTTGCTTTTATAGTTTCTTGAAAATTTAATCAAATTATTGAGTTATACCTAAATCTCACATATGTAGGGCCCAAATTTGCCAGACCACATTAATGCCAATGGAGAGGCAATCCAGATAGCTGCTTCAAGCATGATTCGATCCCATAGTGTATCCGGTGACCTGCATGGCGTTCAGCCTGATCCTATTGCAGCTGATATCCTAAGGAAAGAGCCAGAGCAAGAAACTTTTGCACGACTTAGAATTGCCCCTACTGGTATTGACTCTCTCTATTGTATGCTAACTTAAGTTTGTGTTTAATAGTTATGCATTATAATTTTTGTTCTTGCTTCATACACCACTCTCACTATTTCTTGTGTCCTAATGCTTAGATCATGTGCGCATATAAAATTCTCAACATGTTGAATGCTTAGCAATTTATTTATGTAATAGAAAAGGAGGGAAAGTTAAAAAAGAAAAAAAAATGCTGGAAACATTCAAAGTAGACCTAAAAATTTACTCCTGTATGATTTATTAAAACATGCTAATCTTTCTTTTAAAGGCTTCAAAATTGATCTAAAATAATGTATGTATTTCCTTGTTTGAAAAATTACAAGGTCCAATGTTTTACTTTAAGGGTATGATATTAGATTTTGCAAGTACAGTTTGCAAATCTAGTTTTCTTAATTTATTTTTATTTCTACTCAGAGGTACCATCAGCAGATGAAGCTGAGGCCTATGTGGTTCTGCAAGAATGCCTTGAAATGCGGAAAAGATATGTATTCAAGGAAGCAGTTGCTCCTTGGGAGAAAGAAGTTATATCAGACCCCAGTACACCAAAACCTAATCCAGAGCCATTTTTTTATGCTCCGGAGGAAAAATCTGATGTAAGCTTATACTTGCAAACCTAGATTCTGTACCACAAGTCACACTCGTATTTGCATTCATTCTTGCTGAGGCATGCCTACCTTTTTTGCAGCATTATTTTGCGATGCAAGATGGAGTAATTCATGTCTATGCAAATAAATACTGTAAGCTTTAAGAGACCTGATACTAAAATTTCTTACTTGTGATGATCTGAACTAATCTCTTGCTTAAGCATTTTCATTTTTTTTTTCTGTTTTATTTCAGCAAAAGAGGAGCTCTTTCCTATAGCTGATGCGACAACCTTCTTTACTGACTTGCATCACATACTTCGTGTTATAGCGGCAGGGAATATTAGAACTTTATGTCATCACCGGCTAAATCTTCTAGAACAAGTAAATACTTCTCGTTGTTTTTGAAGTGCATGCTAATTTTGTAATTTTTTAGTTTTGATCATTAAAATACTTTCATTTTGATACCATTCAGAAATTCAATCTTCATTTGATGCTCAATGCGGATAGAGAATTTCTAGCTCAGAAAAGTGCACCACATCGGGACTTTTATAATGTGAGGAAAGTTGATACTCATGTTCATCACTCAGCTTGCATGAACCAGAAACATCTTCTAAGGTTTATAAAGTCGAAGTTGAGGAAGGAGCCAGATGAGGTAACTTTTATTCTTCTTGATGTCCTCTGGTGTGTTTTTCCCCTTTTTTTATTCTAATGACAACTAAAACTGCCATAGTATGCATTTTCTCCTTGTAAAATGATGCATTTATGCTCTATGATTTGGCCATTCTTCACTGCAAGGAGGCGTGCTATGTAAATGTGTGTGTTGTGCCCACTTTCCTTGAAAATTGTGTTGCTTTTTGATATTCTCTCTCTAATATGGAATTTGCAAACAAGCTCATTTGTTTGGTTTGACCAATTATAACTTTACGTTTGATGTAGGAATAGCCTCATTCATTATTGTGAAAGGTGTGTGAAAATGATGCATGTGAAGAAACATTTTTGCCCAAAAGTTGTGTTTACTGTATTCTCTCTTTGTTCAGGTTGTAATATTTCGAGATGGGACATATTTGACCCTGAAAGAAGTTTTTGAGAGCTTGGATTTAACTGGGTAATGACTTTTTCTTTTTTACCTATTTTCTGCTTAAAAAGGGAGGGAGATTTTGTGACTAATGTTTAGATTATAATTCATTCTTGCTTTTGTTTGAGCAGGTATGATCTAAATGTGGACCTTCTTGATGTTCATGCAGACAAGAGTACCTTTCATCGCTTTGATAAGTTCAATCTTAAGTATAATCCCTGTGGTCAAAGTAGACTCAGGGAGATTTTCCTCAAGCAAGACAATCTTATCCAAGGTATATCCTTAATGTTTCCTTGATAATAAGGACACAGGAGTATTACGCTAAAATCAATTTGAAAATAAGCAATTTATTTCTATTAATTTGTTATGAGATGTGTTTGTTTGAAGTATGTACTAAGATTCAAATATGATTTTGAATGCTAGTATCCTACAGTCCTTCCAATCTTTATTATGAATGAACTATCTGTAACTCCTCTTCATATGTGCCCATCATTATAGATTAATTATATGTTATGAGGTGTGCTTCAATTCTTTTACTATAAACATGATTCTGTGTCTTGTGTTTGATTGATTTATTGCTCTGAAAGCATCTTTTTGTTTTTTTTTTTTTTGTGGTGATTGTTATTATGAAATTACACCGAGACTGTTCTATCTGTGCAGGTCGATTCCTTGGTGAGTTGACAAAGCAAGTGTTTTCTGATCTTGCTGCAAGCAAATATCAGGTACTTTTTCTGTGCACAAATACATTTTAACCTGCAGAAGAAATTCTGTTTTGGCTTTTCAGACTTAGAGACAGAACTTAAGAGCACTTTAGTAGAACCATTTATGTGGAGGAAGATTCTTTAATAAATTTACTTGACATGTTTTACTTTATTCTTTTTGGAGTTATATGTAATCACTAAACCACATTAGAAAATGATAATATTTTCTTTTCATAGTATGTATCAGGATGCTCACTCTCTTTAAATACACCAAACCAGTTCTCCGGATTTTACCTTTTTTGATGTTCAATTTGATTGCTGCAGATGGCTGAATACAGAATATCAATATATGGCAGGAAGCAAAGTGAGTGGGACCAACTGGCTAGTTGGATCGTTAATAATGACTTGTACAGTGAGAATGTTGTTTGGTTAATTCAGGTGCTAGTAATCTCTTTGAAATCTCAGGACTTAGTTATTAGCTTCTTTTGTGATGCATTTTGTGAACCTATAAATAAAGGTCCATTTATGTGGATTAGAACTCCACAGAAGAAAATTGTTGAATGTTGGCCAGACAATATTTCTTATTCCTGAATATATGATGTTTTTCTCTATTTTGCTTCAGATCCCTCGACTTTACAATATTTACAAGGACATGGGAATTGTTACGTCATTTCAGAACATTCTTGACAACATCTTTATTCCTCTATTTGAGGTTACTGTGGATCCTGATTCACATCCTCATTTACATGTTTTCTTGAAACAGGTTTGCTATCTTTTATTTGTAACTCTTCTTATTTTTGTATTGCAATGTTTTTGTTTGGACACATGCGCCTCGGTTTGTGTTGTTTACCATGACATCTGCATCTTGTGGCCCATTCAGGTTGTAGGGTTGGATTTGGTGGATGATGAAAGTAAGCCTGAAAGACGCCCCACAAAACACATGCCTACACCGGCTCAATGGACTAATGTATTTAATCCTGCATACTCCTACTATGCATATTACTGCTATGCTAACCTCTACACCTTAAACAAGGTATGCATTTTATAATTGGATACAATTTTATCTTTACTAGACAATATTGTTTTTGGATGGTTATTTGAAGACCTCTCTTTGTTCATTGTTCTATTTCTGAACCAGTTGCTTTTTCCTTAGCATTGGCTTTATAGCTTCTTTCTTTACATAAATTGGCCTTTCCCCCAATTATTGTTACTGCTAAATTTTCTTCTTAAACACTATTGATGACTGCTGAGTGCAATTAGGACTAGATGCAACCACTTTGTTTTTGGTATATAAATGCTTACTTTGTGGCATGACTTTCCCAGCTTCGTGAGTCCAAAGGCATGACAACCATAAAATTCAGGCCACATTCTGGGGAGGTACTCATCAAAGTTATATGCTACCTTCATGAATGTTTTAATTTTTTTTATGTTCCTCATATATATAATATTTTCAGGCTGGTGACATTGACCACCTTGCGGCAACATTTCTAACTGCTCATAACATTGCGCATGGAATCAATTTAAGGAAATCTCCTGTGCTACAGTATCTTTATTATTTGGCACAGGTAAGAACAAAAGACACTTAAAAATATTTTAGTTAATCAATAAGCTTGGAATTTCTAATTGTTGTCATGGCACATTGGTTATTAGATTGGCCTGGCTATGTCTCCTTTGAGCAACAATTCATTGTTTTTGGACTATCATCGGAACCCCTTTCCAATGTTTTTCCTAAGGGGTCTGAATGTTTCCCTTTCTACGGATGATCCACTTCAAATACACCTAACAAAGGAGCCTTTGGTGGAAGAGTATAGCATAGCTGCTTCTGTAATCTTCTCTTCCCCTCTCTCTAGGCAAGAATGTAAAATTTATACTTTTACCTTAAGGTTCAAATAAAGTAAAGTGCTTGACTTGCAGGTGTGGAAGCTGAGTTCATGTGATCTATGTGAGATTGCCCGTAATTCAGTCTACCAGTCAGGTTTTTCACATGCTTTGAAGGCAAGTGCTCTTTTTCTGTTTTGACATGTGATGCTGATGGTTGGGGAGGGGAGTAATCTG